GTCTTATGGTTAACAGGTCCTGTGAAATTCCTGACATCCCTACCCTCTCGGTGGTACTTTGCCTGAAAACCCAATGGTTCCTACTGAACTTGTACAATCTTTTTTTTTTTTAAGTCACAAATACAGCACACAGTTTCATGTTTAAATAGGGCTCGGTAATTCCTAAAACAGCTGGGCACTGCAGTTTTCAGCAAATATTATTCAGATAGATGTAAATTTGTCCATTTGATGGGGACTATTTTAGGTAGTGAATTAATACACAAAGGTATTTCTTACTGCTGTGTATTTAATTTTTTTGACAATCTATAGTTGTTAGTAGGATAAAATTATTGTTAATTTGGCCTTTACATGGGACTTTTTTTTTTTTTTTTTACACAAAAATATAAGAAAATGTTGGCAGATGTTACTACATGTTCATACAACTGAACATTTGGCTGCGCCTTCTGCGTGGTTAACAGGAAGGATGATCAATACAGGGCTACACAGTTACGAGTAACATGACGAATTTTCGTGAAGAATGCCTATCCACTACTGCAGTGTATTATCTGCAGGAGGTTGTGCTGACCACAATCTTCCTTCCTGTCTCCTCCTGGGTCTCTTCATGTGCCAGGCTAACAGATCATTATGTTGCCAGATCAATAAAGACATCCAACGCTAACTGGCTGGTCACACTGGAACCAGACAAAGTAACTGGTTGTGACTCAGAACAAAGAAATGTGGTGCTAAAGGCCTGGAGCTGATTTCCTAAAGTCATCTCAGCATGAGAAACTCATCACAATAACAGAATGTAACATGGGTGGGTCGGTGGACTATTAACACAATTGTGCAAAGAGAACTCATTTTCTCTCATTAAAAACTGAAAACAATGAATTGAAAGCAACGCATCCCAAAAGTTCAATGTGGATGTAGGAGCATGGAGTTTGGATGGAGGTCGGTACAAACCTCCACTGTGTGTGCTTATTTATCCAAAGGCAGGATGTGGTTAAATGATCCGCTGGGACATATAGGGGTATTAATCACTCATCAAGATTACAACATGTATGATACATGCTCTTTCTTAACAAAACAACTCTAATACCACCCCCACACAATGGCAATGCAAGATAATTACAGCTACTGCAATACTAGGGAGAAATGCTTTGAATGATTAAGCAAGTAAAAAAAAATTTATGATTCTGAATGATGGATTAGTCAAGATTTGTGAAAGTGAAGCAGGCTCACACAAAGCTCAAAGTGAGAGTGCAGCAATATATGAGCTGCTCCAATGACAATGAGAAACAGATGGGCTTTGCAGACAGACTGATAACGCTGTTTGTGACTTTAATTAAATGAGGAAAAAAGTGACAACATGACACTTCCTGTGAAAGAAGCAGCAACAAGATGACAAATTAGATTCAGGGTTTTGTAGTCTCTAGATTTATGTATTAAACGGTCTTAGATCAAACAAATAACATATGGGATTCTGCTTTGGAGTGAGTTTTCACTTTAGTCAAGTTCACCAAAAATGATCATCCATCCATTATCTACCACTTATCCGGGGTCGGGTCGCGTTGGCAGCAGGGTCAGCAAGGTAGTCCAGATGTCCCTCTCACTGGCGACATGTTCCAGCTACTCTGGTGATAATCTGAGGCATTCCCAGGCCAGATGAGATGTATAATCTCTCCAGCATGTTCTGGGTCTCTCCTGGGGACTTCTACCAGCTTGGGCGTACCTGGAAAACCCCCAAAGGGAGGTGTCCTGGAGGCATCCTGATAAGATGCTCGAACAACCTCAACTGGCTTCTTTCAGTGTGAAGGAGCAGCGGTTCTACTCTGAGCCACTTCCGGATGTCCAAACTCTGCATCCTCTCTCTAAGGCTAAGTCCGGCCACCCTACAAAGGAAACTCATTTCGGCTGATCGTATTTGCGATTTTATTCTTTTGGTCACTACCCACAGCTCGTGACCATAGGTGAGGGTTGGAGCGTAAACTGACTAGTAAATTGAGAGCTTTGTCTTTCGGCTGAGCTCCTTCTTCACCACAACAGTCTGGTACAACATCCACATTACTGCTGATGCTGCCTCTATGCCGCCTGTCAATCTCACACTTTATTTTACCCTTATTCATGAACAAGACCCAGAGATGCTTAAATTCCTTCACTTGGGGCAGCAACTCACTCCCAACCTAGAGAGAGCAGTCCACCGTTTTCCAGCCTCAGACTGGGTAGTCTCATCTCTGCCGCTTCACACTTGGCTGCAAACTGCCCCAGTACAGTAAATTAACAATGACATGCATGTGGGTCATCTTTCTGGAAACTAATGCTTCAAACAGACAAAATGAACATTCAGACAGTTATCCATCCAACCATTTTCCACCTATTCCAGCATGACCTGAGGCGAGAGGTGGGATACAAACTTGACAGGTTGCCACTCTATCATAAGGCAAAGAAAAGCATTCACTCTCAGATTCACAGGTCTCAGTTCCGTTACAACCTGCATGTCTTTCAACTGCAGAGGGCAACTGAAACACCTCAAAACAATCCACAGAGACAAACAGAGGATATGAAAACTCAGCCTTCCTGCTGTGACATGAATGTGCAAGCCACTGAGACACTTCTCCACCCTGATAGAATCATGTCTCTAGAATTTTTGAAAATGTCATATCATGTGTCTCTTATTTTTGCAGCTCTATTCTAAACTCTATCTCCATCTTAAGTGTATGCAAAAACTTCCAAAGTGTTACCATTACCTGTCTTCACCACTCCTCTAACATCAACAGTGTTAACCATTATAATACCACTATACTGCAGACTGTACTGGTGTGCGAATTACATCATGCATTTTGGAGGGGGTCTCCTTTTGACTGGGGGTGGGTTGCGGTGAATGCTGTTGTGTTAAGGACGTGCGCTCAAGCCAGCACCAAACCCACTTGCGCACCGGCACACAAAGCAATCAAGTTTCACAAAGATGTACCTTCGCTACTACCACAGCGACATATGCTGTGTCACTTTTTGTATTTTATGATGGTTTGAGCCCAACAAAAGCAGTTGTAGGTGGAGATAAAGTGTGCGATGTGTATGCGTCTAACAGCCTGGCACTCCCACAGACCACAATCAATTTCTGGATCACATAAAGGTGGTGAATAAAATACATTTTTATTTTACTATTTTAAAAATAATTTGCCATTAATAAAGTTACATGAAAATAAATCATATTCTGTAAATAAACAGAAAATAATCGGCACAATTTTGAGACCCCCCCTCAAAATTTTATTTTGAGATTTTAGGGGGTGCGACTTGTCAATCAGGGGGTCTAACGCCCTGTATTTCACACACTCTCTGATGTCACATCACTCTTCACATTCATTCCAACCCCAGAAGCAGTCAAGACGGTAAGAGAACATCAATACAATGATAACCTGGAAGAAGTAGAGAGCAGAGCGCTGAGCTCCTTTGCAGGAACTGCACCCAGCCACTGGTTCAGAAACATGGATGGCACCAGGGTCAAAATTAAAGCAAAGGAAGTGGAAGCCTTCACAGAACAGCAACATCAGGTTCATACAGGAGGACATCAGAGGAAATAGTGCTGTACACAGTGAAGATGACAGAAGCCTGAACAGTGAAGTATACAGGAAACCCACACACACTCTTTGATTCTCACCACCCACTGGAACACAAACGGGGAGTGATCAGAACCATACACCACCAGGCTTACTAGGGCAAAGTGGAAGGAAAAGGAGCACAAACACATCAAAGAAGCACTTAAAACCTGTGGCCACCCTAGCTGGGTCTTTGTCAAAACCACAAAAAGACCCAGAAAGAACCCCTCTATAGCAGACAGAGAAAAGACAGATCAGATGGATACATTGCTTGAAAGATTACAAAAAAGCTCTGCTTAAAATTCAACTACAAAGTCTCATCAGCACACAGGGCTGTGGTTTTCCCCACAGATTATGACCTCAATCAAATACTGACATGCTGTCTGTGAACATGAATGATTTAGTGTTATTAGATGACCCAGTCTGCTCAGTGACAGTTGCCTGCAACTCTGTTTAATTGCATTTTGAACAAAATTCCAGGGAGAAATGGGGTTTGAGCAGTATGCAAGTAAGTGCTTCTGTCTCCCAAGTCCTTGGGAATGAACCCGTTAAACTCTCCAAGGTGTGTGGAATAACAAAGAGGAAACCAAAACGTACAGCAACGCTCCCATCTAGTGGTCAAAATCTGGCATCGCTTAACGTCTCCCTTTGGTGATTAGATTCAAACCAGGCAGCATGAGTAAAACCAGTGGTTTATGTGACCTGCTACAGGAGTAAACCTCATTTTAGACAGGAGCAGTGGCTAGTGGAGATAAACATGCAAGGTTTGAGCACTAGTCAGAAGAACATTTGATTTAATGTGGTTGTAAAATAAAGATCTAGAGCTGTCCCAAATTAAAACAGTTACTTCATGTAATGGTGAACATGTGCAATATATTAAAAATTCAAAAGAACAACTTGGTGTGACAACAGTGTTCCCATTTCAGGAATTTTAAAAAACACATAAAACTATTTTCCCAGTCCTACAGATAAAACTATTATCTCAGAAGAAGAAAAATTATGAAGCTATAAAATTCTACAGTAAATGCATGACCATCTTTAGTAGCAACAGTCAGTGAAGTGGTAGAACATCAAAGTTGGAAACTAAAATCATTCTTTAAGAGTACTAAAGTCTAACAAATTAATATCTTGCAATATAAAACAAATATAAAATCTAATAGAAGAAATATGTATGTGTGAAATATGTTTAAACAAAAAAACAACTTGATTGCAACTGAGACTCCACCCTATAGATGGCAATAACCTATTTGATTTTGAAGCTTTGCAAACACACCAACTTTGAATACATTTTAAATTAAACCATAAATGCTTCACATGAAGGAAAATAGGCAGTAAACAGTATGAGCTAACTAATGAGCTAAGAGTTTGCTATACAAGCATTCATTTCAACTACCCCTCTAAGACAACAGAATATGTGAGGCTTACTCGTCAGCGTCTGAGAATTGGTCTGGTTCAGCGTGATGGCTGACGTAGGACCACTTGATGGGGCATGGGTGGTGCACAAAAGGCCTGTAACCGACTGTCACTGGCAGGTCAACTGTGTCCCTTTGCTCAAGTGTCAAAGCCTGCACATCTTGGAGCACATCTTCTGGGCCTGGAAAAGGCAACAAACACCACTAAGATATTTTACTTGGTGTAGCCTCAAACCTCAAAATAGTACTTAAAATGTTCCTAATGAAAAATATACATACACTGATCAGCCATAACATTATGACCACTGACAGGTGAAGTGAATAACATTGACTATTTTGTTACAATGGCACCTGTCAGTGTGTGGGGTATATTGGGCAGCAAGTGAACATTCAGTCCACAAAGTTGATGTGTTGGAAGCAGGGAAAACAGGCAAGCATAAGGATCTGAGTGACTTTGACAAGGGTCAAACTGTGATGGCTGACGACTGGGTCAGAGCGTCTCCCAGACTGCAGGTCGTGTTGGGTGTTCCTGGTCTGCAGTGGTTAGTACCTACCAACAGTGTCTAAGGAAGGACAAACAGTGAACTGGCAATAGGGTCATGGACGTCCAGGGCTCTCTGATGATGAGGTTGACCTACTGTAGATTATACTTTTAAATTTCATTCATCCTTTTCAAAAAATTCAACTTTGCTTGAAACTTTGTTAAAATGGCTGAAAATAAGAAATACTGTACGTTGGTCTCTATGAAGAGAAACATCCAGTGGCTAGAGTGGTGAGAGTGGGGAGGCTGGTGAATTTTTCTATGAACGATCTCTAACTTGTCCTCATGACCAGTTTTCCCTCCTTTTACACAAGTTTTTCAATTGACAGATCCACAGAAGATGCACAGTGAGCTGCAGAGTGACACGAGTACCAACCGTGTGTACAGTATTAGGCAGGTGGTCATAATGTTATGGCTGATCGGTGTAAATACTAAGTACTATACGCTAACTAGTATACAATATGTACTTCAGGCATTCTGTGACATCAGTATACTATATAGTATAAATACCCTGCTGTGGAATCATTGTATTTAAATGTATTTTTCTTACCATAGGGTCTGACCCCAAAATACATCTTTTCCCAGTCAGTGAGCGGCAATTTCTGGATCTCATGTTCCCAGTCTTCCTCCTCTGTTGGTGGCACCAATAGGACTGAAGAGTTCTCTGGACAGGTGGCTTCAGTATCTCTATAAAAGTTGACAAAGTATTATAAAGGAAGTTAGTCATATTTTTACTACTCAGTCAGGCAGCAGCGAGAGCTATTACAGGCGCCACTCGACAAACGTGGAGGTTTATTAACTTTCTTTCCATTAACCTCTGGTTCAAGGACACAGCAAGCATCTCTCAAGCGCACTAATTAGCAAATTGTAACCTGTTTTGCTAAATATGTACAATAACCAAAGTGTAAAATCCTCAGTTTGTGGTTTTACAGGGGTTTATGTGAGGGACTATGTCCTGGCCTAGCCGTTCCCCCCATTTCCAGTCTTTATACTAAGCCAAGCTAACCAGCTACTGGCTTATATTTACTATATAATAGATAATAGCATCAATCTTCTAACTCTCAGCAAAAAGGCAATAGGAGTCCAAATGTTATAAATAAAAAACTTGAACACTTCAGTAACTCTAATAGTACAATGCAGGCACTCGGTACTTCACCTTCATAACACCCAGTCTACACTGTCATACATTTCCATCTTAACCAGTGCAACTGTCCACACTCACCTTTAACAGCTCACATTTCAGTTATAGAGCAAAAACTGAACTGGAAGGGGTGAGAGATTATGAGTAAAGCTGTATTTTGGACTTGTTAGGCTGTCACCCATTATAAAGCCTCGTCCGGTTCTTTCAAACCAGGAACTCCGAGGGACGACTCAGACCACTTGAGTATATAAAAATATAACCGTGCTGGTTTATTCAAAGAGGCACAGGCAAGAATTCACACTTCCAGTCCAGAGATCTTCCAACCCCCAGCCTGCCAAAGCAGCTCGGAAACAGAAAAGACCCCCAACCAAGAATTCCTATACAATATTAATCATTTCTGGGCTGTCGAACCGTGACGTCACCTGATATGCCAGCTTGGCAGCTGAGCAGAGCAGTAGACAAAACATGAAGAAAATAATGTGTGTGGCTGTTGTTTTCGTGGTGTGTATCTAAAACAATTTGACATAACATTACACATTAAGACAAATATTATGGTTACTTTTACCGTCATAATAACATTTGTCCCTGACTTGAGCCCTTCTCTGCCTTAACTATCCTTGCATTTAACAGCCTGAGGAAGACATCCTGGCTACACTAAACATTCCTAGACAACAAATCTCTGAATATCTATCTAACTAAAAAATAACCTAACAGACTGAATGATTGCAAGGTAGGCAGCTCACCTCTTATGATGTCTGAATTTCTTCCTCCTCCTCTGATTCTTCTTCGCTGCTGAAGGGCTGAGCTCTGGTGTCCTTCTGTCAGAATAACAGGTAAAAGCAACAGTGTCTAGGCTGGTGGCCCCACTGACTGAGACGCCACCTGGAATGCCTCTGTTGTTGACCCTGCCAGCTGCTGAGGCATTAGTGACAGAAGAAATCCCGCCTCCTTGTTTTTGTGCTGCGTTCGTACTCTTAGCCTTGTACCTGTAGTTAATATAACCATTAACCCCCCATTGTTGTCTGGTACCATTTAGTGTGCCAGCTGGTACGCTGTTGCTTTTTGTACTCTCAGCAGCTCGGCAGCCATTGCGAACAACAGCTCCATTAACCAAATCTGTGCCTGGTACCCAACCGTTGACCTGGTCGTTTGCTCTGCAGGTGCTGTGACGCGTCCCTCTTCTTCTACCCTCACACTTTATAACATCCTGAGGCATTGCGTCACCTGTAATGTACAGTCGGGAGGTTTGAATTGAGTGCACATAATGAAAGAAAACAGGATGCGTCTGGGTTGGACTGGTCAAAAATAATAAAACCAAATTAATTAAAAATCCAGAACATCTAACTTACACCTTTTAACATATTTTAACCCAAATATTTCTTAATGCACTTGCAAAGCAGTTGTCAATAGACTAAGCAGTAGTAGGAGCTTCCACAGTTCTGGAGGCAAAAGTCTCAATCTTTTTCTCCAGTATAAAAATTCTACTTTGATTAAAAGAAAGAGAAACGTCACAGGAGCATTTCAGTTAGAAAAAATAGTCTTTAAAATTAAAACGAGCTGTTACATTTAGCAGTTGAAATCAATTTGGACTGTCAGTGCTGAATGTATTGTAGAACTATGGTGCAGTCGGACACACACCTCTGCCTGGCTTCTTCTCCACAGCATCATTAGCTAAAGCTTATGAATGTTGTTTTATTCAGGCATTTGCTGTACCAAACTGTTAAAACTGCTGTGTTTCAGTATCTACATTAATCAAGCTTCGCAAGTTGTATTTCACTATTCTTCTCACTGTGCTGGTTTTGATTTGGCGGTGATCATGCCTTTATTGCTAATGATTGTCCTTTGTCATGAAGAAAATCAATCAGTACAAGTGATTTTTTTCTTGTGGGTTTTACCGCTTCAAGAACTAACTTTAATAAAACTTCTGTGCGTGTTTGTTGTAATTTGAGCATCAAGGCCGACACACACAACAAATAAACCACATTTAAACTAGCTAACTAATGCTACTTTGTTTCAATAAGAAGGCACTTCCTTCTTTCTGCTCCTTCATATCACCGACTGTGCATCACGTTTCGAGATGTAGCTCACATTTTGAGTACAGTCTGCTCAAATGGCTGAAAAATAAAACAAAGTAGCAACTCTTTCCACCGCTAACCGCTGACGTTAACTACCGTTAGCTAGCACTGACGGTTAATACCATTACCACAAGGGAAAGCAAATATCCAGCACACAGCTAAGCTAAACTCTCAGTAAGGATTACAGTAGAAAAATCCTAGGTAACTGACTTCATCTTAAATCAGCCAGCTCTTACCTGGCACCCGCAGCCTGAAGCACAACCCGCGGAGAACTGACCGCAAAAGACACGCCATATGCGGCACCAACGCGCACGCGCACACACAAATATTTTTGCAGTTTGGCTTTGAGGTGTTTTTATATCCCGTTTACAATAAGCCAATAGAAATACCATTACAAACCCCTATATGTTTGTTTTATCAGACACTACCCTTTTGTACGATTTAAAGGTGATTATGTTTGTAGATGGGTCTTCTCAGGACAACAGCAGTGCAAAGAAACCTCTCAAACTGGTGCAGCAGAACCCACTTATCTGCTGCTAGTAAAATATGGTAAAACAGCACTACAGTATTAAAAAGCATTAGACCTGACAGGTCTTGGCTGAATCAGATTTTCTTGAGGGTCTAGATTGTTGTTTCTGAGACATAATATGAGAAAACAAAGGAGTTCTGCCTAAACCATGGAAGGAGCTGCTCTTAAGTCACAATCGTGGAAATAAAGCAACACACACACACACACACACACAATAATGATTGTGAATTTTGAATCAATGATGAGAATATGCTATTTTCAATGTTCATGGGGGTCAGATGTTTTTATTTACAGCACAGTGTGTAGGACATCACAATGGTAGCTAAGACTTCAGCAGCAAACACTGAACAAACACAGTAAATGGTCTCTTGTTTTAGAAATGACATTACATAAATGGAAATGAGGACAAATCTAGTTTAAATTGCTAGAAATTTCATGAGACAGCATCAATGTCAAACCAAAGTTTATTGCCATTTACAGTGACCACTTCACATGGAATAGCCCTAATCATTCAATATTTAAAAGCTACAAGCTCATGTGCTTTAGATCTAGAATGGCACAAGCAGCAAAAGCATGGACAGATTTGTGAAGCAAACCAGGACACAAATCAGTAGGTAATGGTAAATAAGTTAATATTGCTCATCATTTATTTTAAGTAAAGAAGACAAGAAACGCTGGTTCAAAGCAAACTGAAAAGCAATGGACTTAGTGCAGCGAATAAAAGAGAGAAATACATACTGCACTGCATTGCAAAAAAATTTGACAAAATATTCCCAAAATGCTAACCTGGTCTGCATACCATACAAAGATCTGTGCTATACTGCATTTCTAACAGGACACCTAAGCAATGACAAGTTCTTTCTTGATAAAACTGTATAAAATAGTTTTCATAGTAACAATCTGAAAAAAGTGGCACATGTAATCATATAAATGATCACTAAATTATTACAACATTTACAAGTCAAGAAAATATGTCAGACATAGACATACAGGTAGACCGTACCTTCAATAATGGTGTAAATCTATAGCAACATCATCTTGAAAAAAATGTCCTCAAAAGGCACAGACAGCAGAACAGGTGAACCATGCAAAGGGAAACAGAGGGTTTTTGTGCAAGGAAGCAAAACTCAAGTTTTGAATAATTACATAATACATCAGATTGTAATTGTCAAAATGATGTCCTCCTCCTTACAGTACAGAATACTGTATACATGTGTTACAGCACATCTTACCCAGTTATAAATTTAAATTCAGGAAGCCTTTGCGGCCACACAAAGTATAATAAGTTGTACATTCATGGTATTTACATTATTAGAGAATTTTAGAGAACAATTGAGGCTTTACCTGTGACCTGTAGGCTTCCATTGGCTTGCTAATCCAGTCTTTTGTACCAAAAGTTTAGTCTCATGTGAATATTCACATTCAGTATCCGAGTTGATTTCACTGAGCACACAAAGGTGACTCAGTAAACCACATAACAATGGCTACTAGTCACTCCAATGTATCCACCATACATCCTGTACATTCATATCATTACATTTGTGCAACATCATTGGGTCTATTGCTATCAACAGAGAAAACCTTTAATCACATGCTTTGCTAGCACATAATAGCCATGAAAGTTAGTTTAAAGACACTCCTTGGTTGCAGCTTCTGCACCATAAAGTGACCATCTATTATGGTACTCGGCTGAACCAACTAAGGGCCACTTATCAGTGAAAAATATCCACTATTGGATTGATTGACACTACACGTGCTGTTCCAAGGGTCATGGAAGACATGTTCCTGAAATAAAAAAAGTTACCTTCAATTTATAGTCTCTGACTTCACTACAGTCCTCCTTTGCAAGTGTACATGGTCCATCATCTGACTTCCCAGTTCTTTACAGAAATCTGTTGCTTCATTCACTGTTTTCAGCTTATAAGCTTTTCTCTCTCTAAACACCTCTGCCTCATTCCTCAGTCCTCTTTTAACACGTGCTTGTCCAATTATGTCGTCACATGCATTCAGAGAACACTCACATACATGACAGGGAAGAAAAGACTGGCAGTTTACAGATCGGGCAGCACTGGGCTGGTCTGCCTCACTTTTTAAACACGTTTGTCTATCTCACTGCATCTTCCTAAAGTGTTGTCCTTCTACACTATACCAAACTGCCTTTAAATAATGCTGTTAATATAACACCAGGGTACCGTAGAACCCACATCAGTTTTGTTACACTATTCCAGTTTTTTTTACCCATGTACATTTCTCCAGTGTACTATCACACAAGTCTGTCAATCCTTAGTCTGCTGAATGCAGGATATTCCTGGGAATAGATCACCAGTTAATAATAAATCACTGTCTTATGAGACAGAAGTTACCGCCATAATGACAGTTCACAGCATAGAGAAAGAATAAAAACAAAACAGCATCACTCGATTCGAAGAGTCAAAGGGGTATGACATACAGTCAGTGACGTGAGAAAACTCCCTTTACTTCAACCATCACAAAAAAGTCTTTTCCTGCCACAAACAGCAGGGGGCGACATCTATTTATTTGTCCCAGTTAGCAAAACTGGCTCTTGTTCTCTGTATTCTTGCACAGACCCCAGGTTGCAGGATCTGATCAAACAACTGGAATGATCCCCATTCTCCCAAGTTCGAGAACAACTCTCATTCCAGTTGAGTCACTGCTACTTTTTGATCTCCAGAATGGAGGGGTTGTGGTCCAGGATGGAGAGGATGATTTTGTCCATGTACTGTCGTAATCGGAAGTTAATTTCCTCCTGCTCCTTCAGGGCTTCCATTATCTGGGGAGACAAAAGTATATCAAATGCAATTTTGCCCATGCTAGTCTTTTTTGTAAAATATTCTTACACAAAAGTTCTTGTGAAATATTAGCTATACCCATTCTCTTTGTATGAGGATTGTACAGAAATGCTGCTATAGGTATAGACTTCATATTTTAAAGTTATTCATTTTTGAGCATTGATCAGTATCAGAAAGAAATAATGGATTTAACTGCACTGCATTCTCAGTATGTATGGTATTTCCTGATCTTACTTCGTCTTTGGAAGCATTATCTATTTCCGCAGCTAGAGACTGGGCCTTGGTCTGTGTGGCAAACAGGTTCTTAGCTTCATGAAGGCTGAGGCTGAGGATCTGACCGTTTAGCTCTTCATTCTGCTCCCTCAGCTTCTGGTTCTCCTAAAAGACAGGACAGAGGAGAGAGACAAGGAGAAAAAGAGATAAGTATCTGGATCATACAACTGTATCAGATATAAGGTTTTCTCTTTTTTTAATGGTCACTACTCAAGCCTCACACAATCCATATGGACAAATTATCCAGCAGCAGACACAGCAATGCACATCTATGATGGCAGCACCTACACCTACAGGACATAAAATGGGTTATGCGTGTTACAGAACAAACCATTCCCCTGCTTGTCTGGTGCGTTATGAAAGCTCCATGATTAAGTTGCCTTTTAGAGCTGACACGAGGTCAGTTTGCGCTTCTCTTGTCCTAGCTTTAACATTTAGCATGAGAATTGCAGCACTGACTCCAATTCAGCTTGGGCCATTGTGATTAGTGGTTAATCGGGAGGTCAGAGATCACAGATGCAGTTTTACCATCAGACCGGGAGGGAGCCGAGCCCCAGACAACACCAGGTGCTGGAGTTCAGGGGGAAGAAAGTCCCGGGACCCAAATCGCTGGACACACACATACAGACATTTACTGTACAGAGGTGCACAGGCAAGCATACTGTAAGTTAGTGAGTTTATTCTCCTTGTGGATGTTATAAGGCGGTGTGTCTCACAGTAAAGCTTCACACAGCTACATAATTTGTTCATCCATGGATAATCCAACTGAATTGTTCAGAACAAGTTGATATAAAGAAAGACATAAAAAGTATGGGAAGAATGACGTTGATATAAAACCCACTATTACCATTTCCCAGTTTGCTTGGCTGCACGTGAAAGAATAAATCAATCAATCAATCACGTAGTGTGACAAGTCTGATCTGAGGCTACAGGGGGATGTGAACCTTATCATCTTAGTCGCTGATAAGGTTCACACACTGTGTAAATCACTAAGTTCTGACTCACTGGCTATGTATCAATATGAAGTTATCTCAAGGCCTGGTGGTTTTGGCAGCTTCTGCTTCTCACACTGCCTCTTTACTTTTGGCTACAGGACTTGCATGTGCATACTGTATCATCACATCATCAAAACAACACAGGCCTCTATACAACAAAGAGTGTTAACTTCTTTTTCAAGTCTTAAAAAGAAAGGACATCGGAAAAACACTCATCAAGTTCCTTATCTCTAATGTTTACTTTGTCTGGGCACTTTGCAAAGACTGGAAACTGTACCATGACATTTGACTCCCTCACTGTGGCAGGGGTGTAGCTAGAGGCACATTTCTAGGAAATGTATCTAGGAAATCTGAGATTAAAAAACAAAGAACATATACAAACATACTGTACTGTACTCTGCAGCTGGTATTCTCATAAAATAATACATACTGCTTTAAAAGGGGGTTTTCAAGGGAACGAGTGGAAGGCAATGTGACATGCTGTGAGCTCTAACCAGCGATAAAAACCCAAAGGTCTGCAGCCACACTAAAACCAGAAGCGTGACTTGATTTATGAATTTAGCGCATCATGTTCCTCTGGAGGTTCATAAGCCAGTTTATCATGTTAAATGTAAGCTACTTTCTGTAAGAGCAAGAATAAGTGCACTAGATTCTGCCAAATATAACTAAATGAATCTATGGACTGTATCATCTGAATCATTGTACCTGTACAGGTGTGTCTTCCCATGATCCTCAGTACTAGTTATAATATAAAAAGTGTTACTGTACTGCACCTGTGCTATTTTAGGAAAACATTAAATGGTTGACCAGAAACACAAGGCACTGGTTTGGTCACTGTGTGTGAAACATCTGTTCTTAAAGTTAAGAACAACACACCTGACAAAAGACAAAAACAGCAGAGCTGGGGCACATATAACAAAGTCAAAACCCAAAGCACAAAAAGATATATAAGCTCATGATATCTACAATTGTTTGTCCAGTTAAGACACACTTAGAAAATCAAAGGACAGGTAAACAAGTAAAGAAATCTTGCCCTTGTTTGAAATAAACAAAATACTAGTGTCAAACAGACACGTCTAGTGCTGCTTTAAGCCTTTGAATCAACTAGATTAGATTAGAAAATAAGTATACATACAATTTATGCCACATTCAACCTGTGACAATCTAAGGCAGTTCACGATCGATAATTAGCATATCTCTGCATCTAGCACCCAACAGTGCATGCAAACCTATATTTAAACAGGTCTTGCTTCTAGGACAGGACAGGACAGGACTGCTGTGATTAACCTCTGACATAGTTTATGTCCTTATGTATGACAGCCTCCACAGACTAATGATTGAAGAAACACAAAGGTAATTTTGAGCTGGACACCAGGTGTCATTGCTTCCCATTCCAATGAATTATGATTTCAAAATCCTAAAGCACACTAGCATACAGACAACCCTGAAAACCACAAGCTACAATACATACTGAGCTCAATAAAGCACAGTAAAGGCTTTCATCAGTACCTGCTTGTGCCTCTTCACCTCGTGCTCTAGCTCTACCTCCCTGCTTCTGCTGCTGAAGTCAGACAAGCCAGACGAAGAGCTGCGGCTCCGGCCAGGCCTCTCTGCCTCCAGCTTGAGCACCTGCAAATGCTCCAACTCTCGTCGCAAATCTTCTATCAGCTGGACAAAAGAGAAAAGACAAATGAATGCTGTTATATCATGCTGACGCAGTATTTTGCAGGTGTTGATGTAGAAAGCTGGCATTGCTGCAGTGAGAGAGTAGAGTGAAACAGAGGAAACTGTGTGTGTGTGTGTGTGTGTGATAGCATAAGATAATCCTGCCCACCTCCTGCATGGCTTCCTTCTCTTTCTGAAACTGTTGTCTGTTCTGTCTCAGTTTGTCCATCATTTTCCTGTAGAGGTCCATCTCATCCTTCAGCCGCAGACTGGTGTCCTCCAACTTGTCTGTCATCCTTTGCTTCTCCTGAGGATGGGCATACACACACAGTTACAGTTTGAAGTTTGCTTCATTTTATTTGTGTTTCAGTCAAAATCAGACACTAACACATAACACAGAGGGTTAATTTTTCTATTTTCAGTTACAGCTTTGGTTGCACATTCTTATTTTGTAAGCTACATATAGAGTTAACAACTATCAGGTTTGGTGTCGTTTACATAGCAGTGTGGTTTAATACTGAAAGGCTCTAATACCTTATCCGGTGAGTAAAATTACAGTCACTCATTATCTTTGTTGTAGACTGTATGTGTGCACACGTTGAACATTTTTTATTCAGAGAACTGACATTTTTGAAAGGGACAGCAAGTTAGAAAGAGAAATAAAGATAAGATGAACAAGATAAAAGAAAGCAAATATAGCTTACCTCATCCAGTTTCTCTGTCTGTGACTTGAGTCGGCACATGTTAAGAGCCATCTCACCATTCTCCTCCTCCATCTGCTTAACTCTAAAAACAAGTCCTGTATGTCAGTGTACTTATCTATACAACTAGAGTGTGTGCCTTGTAGTCAGCTAAAGCACTGTTTTAGGCAAAAAAACAAACAAAAAAAAAACAGTATATACTGTAGATGCTGACTAACCCAAGGAGGAACCTCTAAGCTGTGTTTGCACTAACAATACATTGTGCGTATTCTTTTAAAAAGCAGGCACCTTAAAGATGCATTGTCTAAAATTTTACATACTGTAAAGTGAAAATGGGACAGGACGTGGTATCTTTATGATATACAATGGATGCTGCATTTTGTACAGTCTGTCTTGACCGGGCATCTGTAGCTCATGTCGTAGCTTTAGGAGGAGTAATGTCCATACTGTATATCTCAGCATCTAATTGTAAACTAATGGATTCAAGCACATGGATACACACAAAAACCATGTAAAACAGCAGCTGTTTATGTTTGTGCTTGTGTATGTATGTGTTTCTCACCGGTTGGTCAGCAGCTCTATCTCTGTGTTCTTATCTCTCTCCATCTTGCTGTAGGCCTCTCGATGCCGTCTAAGCCCCTCCTGCAAATTTTGCTCTGCTCGCGTCTCCTGATCTTTGAGCTGCTCCTCCAGCTCATTAACCCTGAGATGATAAACACATTGTACCAAATTAATTTAATGCATTATCTTAACTGAGCTGTGTCACTTTTCAAAACGGCGAATACTCATTTACTGGTACACTGTCACATTATACGCACTAGATTCGCTATTTAGGGGAAAGAATTCACTTTTGAAGTTGTAAAAAATTATCTGTATAACATGGTTGCATAGTAGGGCTGCTCATTTATTTATACTAAAATATATGCTGTGTATTTAAACCCAGCTTTGTCTATACCTGTGTACTAGTTGTGTGTTCTCCTGCTTTAGCCTGGACTTGAGATCACCATTCATTAGGATCTCATTCTCCAATTCTGCAACCTTCTTCTCCAGACAACTCACCTGACAGAGACAAAAGCAGTTTACTAAAAGTTGGACGGAAACTATAAATGTAATTAAAATTGACAGTTATACTTAGGGATATCATATAACGTACACTACGAATGCCCCGGTGGTTTAGAGTTTACAGTGCCAAACATGAGTCCTTAGGTCCCTGGATCTAATAAAATTCCCCAAAAAGATTTTTTTTTAAAACATTTGCTTAAAATGATGTCCAATATGACAGCTAGGAAATACCCCAGCAAAGCATCAATTATCACATAAGATGAAACTAAAGTGCATCTATAACTAAAGACAGATTCATGTCTACTTAATGACATTAACCAACAATACTTTCCATAGTTTGAGTAGCTGTTAGCATCTATAAACAGTATTCCTTTAATTTGTAGATATAGTGTAAAAGGAATTCTGGCAGGGCTGATCATGCAGCGCCACCAGCATCTACCAGGAACCTCTCTTCATTCTCTGTGAATTTAATGCTAAGAGCACAAAAACGCTACAGAAGAGATACATTTAAACATTTATGGGCTTTGAGTAGTCACACAGAAAAACATTTCATTCCCTTGAGCATCTTTTTAGTACTTAAAAGAGTTCAACTAAATAAAGATCTATTGACACAGATCAGCATATGGACAAAACAAGTGAAGCACACACACAGAAAGAACACAAACATCCTCATACCTTCTCATTGATGTCAATGTCACAGGAGTCGATGCTATCCCGGAAAAGGTCCTCTGTACTGCCATTACTGCTGCTCAAGTTGCTGTTGTGGAGCAGCTGCCTGCTCAAACACACAGGGATACACCAACTTAAGAGGAGGAACCGGCCAAGGTTAGATTCAGCTGGTTCTCAGTGCGTGTGTGTGAGTGAGTGAAAGCAAGTGTGCTCAGTGCTGCAGGGATGCTGCTCCAAGATAGCACAGTTAATATAGGACTATAGGATCGTGCCAAACAGAAAAGCTGGTGCAGGCAGAATTAAAATTATTACAGGCACATACACTTATTCAGATGCCTATGAAATGATGCCAGCGCAGATGTGTGTATATCTGAGTTACATTGTGAAGTGTGACATTCCTGCCAATATGTGACTACAGCTGCCCCCTTTTCACTGAATGAATAACTCAACACCAGCAAGCTTCTGCTCCATTACTGAGATTAGTAATATGGAGAGGAGAGGAGATAAACAACATAAAATAGGAAACAAAAGAAGAAGAACAGATGAAGAGAGCAACAAAGTAAAACTACTCAAACCAGAGAGAGAGAGAGAGAACAGTAGAAGGAACAGGGAGAGAGAGCCAAACCTTATATTAAATACATAGATCAGGCCTGACAGGCTATTTTCCCTCTGTCACTATAACTCAGTTACTGTGGGTAGAAATAGGACAAAAGCCTAGATACAGTACAAAACATCTCAGCTAGTAGAAACCAACAGACTACACTTGGCTGCCACTGAAATGCTGATCCAAACTCTTTTTCTTAGCCCCAAAACAAAAACAAAAGATTTTACATCAAGCGTGGTTACAAATCATCTGAATTTGAACCAGACGTCCTATATTTTCTCTGAAGAACTAGTTAGTAATTAACTGGCTGTCAGAGCACACGGTCAGGGCGGCTGAGTGATAAGGAAGCAGTAAGCTAATCTTGCTGTGTGTGTGGGTTTGTGCCTTTGTCAACAAATACAGCACTTGCAGCACAGGCTATACAATAAATAAACACACCAACTACAAGTCAGTGACCTTCCCTTTAGACACACGCAGAAGCACACACATTTGAACAGACACACAGGAAGCCTAGAGGCCTACCTTCCAAAAGCAGTGCTGGTGATTTTCCTGTTGGGACTACAAAGAAAAAAGCATAATGTCATTTTTATGATGGTGAATTGCCATGGATAAGTCTAGACTAAGTGCACACACTGCACTGCTAATAACTGCTGGTGGCAATTAAGACTTTGGCTATTCAGTATGACAAATGTTTGAAAAAAAGACAAAGAGAAACACTGAAGGACATGTCAATGATAATACAATTTCACTTCTGGTTCAGTAAGCAGGGGTTTCTGTCAGCTCAGTGACCGCCTCGGGCACTAAATACTAAACTCTTTCAGTCTGATACGTCTGTCTGTGTTGAATTTCACATTGGATTACCAAAATTGATCACACATACTGTAGGGTCACGTGAATGACAGATGATATAGACATACAACTATTATCATCAGGCAAGGTGCTGGCTGTTGTCGGAACGAAAGAACTTCAGGAGCAAAAATGTTACTTGGACCATCTGGACATGGTGAGAGCAACAAAGCAAACGAGTAAGGTATGGAGAAAAGAATAAACCGCAGGAGTAACATTCATAAACCAGTGAGTGACTGAGGGAAAGGAGGTGGTATATAAGGCTGAAGACTGGGGAATGATTAGCAACAAATGAAAACAATGAACACTGAGTGAAATCGTGGTAAAGCTGGGGCAAAACACCTTTCTCATGATAATGAGATCATTTTCAAATAATATCAAGAAAATGTTTTCGTTAAAATGAGATACTTTCTTGTTAAAACCAGAAAGTTCCCATTATGACAAAATACAGAGTACTTTTTTTCATGGTGACGGCAATATGCTGCCATAAAAAAATGCAAAATTATACAAAATGCTCTCAAATTCACTCATTTTGTATCAACAGCTCCCAGTCGGATAAGACAAGCAAACTGTGAAGATTAAAAGAGATGCATCACAGAAGTAGTCTCAGCATTATTCACTTTTAATAACTGAACTTCTGGCATTATCTGCACAAAATGCACCATTTATTATGAAACAACATTTCTGAGTGAAAGTGCATGTGCTCTCATTTCACGACCAGTGCTTTTTCATACAGAACAGTTTTAATTTTTAGTTTCAGTCAGTTATTGTTTTGCCCATCTCTATTTCATTATTCATAAGGAGCATGGGTCTAATTAGGAGAGCCATTTCTCTTCAGGGAGAGAACCAGCAGAGTCAGCAGAGACTGCAAGAAATAAACAAAAAACAAACTTCGTAGTTAACTGTATTCAAAAACATTTTTTATCAAATGTAATGTTCTCTTATAACAGAGTTATCTGCAAAGTAACTAGTGTTTGCAGGAAACATGTTTACGGGTAGACTGTACAGCCATTGCTAGTCACCAGTGATTCAGGTTCTAATAACAGTGTTCCTATTACACTGGCTGATAAGGGAAGCACAGGGAAGGACAGTCTTATGTAACAGTAAATTAGTGTTTATATTATTATATATGTGGATGTGTTTATGCATTAAATGGGGGGAGGGGAACTTTAAGCACCTACACTATGTAACAATATTACATCATTCTATTAAATTAGACTTAAAACGGATCTACCAAAGCTAAGACTGACCTCAGAGTCAGCCTCACCACTCCAAAGCGAGTGGACTAATGTACTTCAAATAAATATAAAACGGGCATAAGAGCTGATAGCATTTCTTTCTGAAAACAGCGTGGTGTATAGTTACTGTCATGTAAAATTAAGCTACTGCCTTTTAATATACCACAGATGGGTCTTAAAATGACCTGTCAGGACAAATAAGAGAATACAGGTTTTAAGTTACAAGCTTTTCTTCAGGCATTGTGAGGCCGTTACAATATATTTCATCATAAATTATATTATATATTAAGTTTAATTTGAATAAATACAAAACTGTAGTCAATGAATACATGCTGGTTAATTGATCAAATTAAAATTATACTCAGAATAAAAGTTTAGTGATCAGGGAGGCCTAAAGACTTTAAAACTGTCTTGGATCATGAAGTTATTCTTGACTGAAGTTGTACTAGCAAGTGGCGTTCGGCGGGTGGGTATCTTGCGTAATGTTGCATTGTGTGTGTTTGTGTCCTACCTGTTAGCCTTGAGGTTTTTGAGACGAGCCTCCAGGTCATTTAGCAGGCTGACCTTTTTGCTGCACTGAGAACAGTAGACATCCATCAGTTCACCGGTGTAATTCTGACGCACCTTACGAGGAGTCTGGCCAGCACTGTAAGCACACAAAGTTTAGATTGCAATAATAACACACAAAGAAATCATTCTAAATTGCTGTAACACACAACCACTTTCAAGGTTATGTGTACTTGAAGGTATACGCCATGATTTTGTTTCCAGTAACAAACTTATTTGTCATTATTTCCTCCTCAGTCACTGTGTATTCTCTGAAATGCAACACAGTTCAGTTTTAGAATCTCAACATGTAAACCCAGTGACATGGGTTTTTTTTTTTTGTTTTTTTTTTTTGAGGGGCACTTTATCAAAACTAGTGATTGTACCTGTAACCCACTTTATACTGCCGTTATTACCTCATGTCTTTGCCACGGTTTGTTTTTTTGGAGGTAGGATATGACCCACAAAACTATCCGTTAGATTTTGGTGCTGATCCAGATCACCCCCACACAGCAAAGTATGATCTGGATCCAAGTAATTTTCCAGATGTGGTGATCCAGACTGTTCACATTTATAGGACTCACTGAATATTTGCTACTGTGAGACAACAAATAATGCTACAGACTTGCAACTAAGATCAAATTCTAGCTGAAATTCTGCTGATTCAGCAGGGTGTCAATACAGCTGACATATCTTCAAAAGTTACTGAGCTAGATCCTGAAAAAAATGCCATTAATTAAATTGTTTTCTGAGAATAGCTTTCAACTAATAATCACATAAATGTAATTCCAAAGGCTAAGGGAAGGTTTTCATGGTCAAGGAGTCATATTATGAGGGTCAGACTATCATGGGAATATTGCTTTTAGATATAATGGCATTATGTGGTTAGTGATTATTATCATTATGTGGCAGGGGTTTACACTCTCTGAGTGCTGTCTAGTTCAGTCTTAATTCCATTAAAGATAGGCCTTTGATGTGGCCTTAAGGCCAAGAACTCCTAATCTACACTTATACAGTTAAGACTCAGAATAAAAGTCAGGTAATAATTCTGGATCTCGCAAAGTGGAGACTCAATTCCACAATATCTGATAGAGTTGAAGCTGTTAAACAGTACGATACACTTTCTTTGCTCAACGTCAAACTTTATTTTTCACCGCCATCCTCACCACAACACATGCACACTCCACTTCCCGACCTTCCGGTGTTTTTCCACAATAAAAGCCTAAACAGAATACTGTACATGAATACATGATAATAATCACCTTTATTTGCCAAGTATGTTACACACAAGGAATTTGTTTCTGGTACAGAACCGATGGCAGCCATCTGCGGCGCCAGCTCAGCCAGTGGCTCTAACCATCGGGGGCAACGTGTCTTGCCCAAGGACACTTCGACACGTGGATTGCAGGCACCGAGATTCAAACCTTCAACCTTCCGGTTGGGAGACGACTGCTCTACCCGCTGAACCACTGTCGCCTCCTAAACCTTAATGTATGGAACTTAACAGAAGCTACAGAAATAGCTCACTGTTGCATTGTTACATCAGGTTGTTACTTTGTGCTTCACCAGAACTTAACATTTAGAAAACTGCACTGAGGCCTACACACAACTGTAATGTACAGTTATCTGCAATTAGTAGCACGGTGGTTCCTAATCTGTGGTTTGTAGGCTGTTGCTGGACCAAAAAACATTTGTTACTGGGCCAAGAAGAAATTATATGATTCAGTATGAAAGCTGGCAATAATTATATAAATTCATAGGCTAATGAAAGCTACAGGCTATGCTGGTGTGGTAATTACGTTGACCTTGCAGTCTGTCCTTTCTGGGTTTCTCCAAATCACTGACTGTCGCAGTCAAAGCTACAGGATAAAAATTTTATCATCAGTACACAAGGTTTTCAACCTATCATCATCCACTTAGCTACTCAGTTAGCATGTGCATTGTTCCTTTACTGTTTTAACTCGTTAACTTGGGTAAGGGCAAAACCATTTAAGAGTTGAAGGGAGCTTGAGAGTTTCTTCAGAGAAGAAACAATATCTACAGTATAAAAATATAATAAATACTAAAGTCAATTAAGTAAAAGTAGGAAGTGTTGGAGAGAACAAAGAATATCCTCCAGGAAAGAAAAAGAAATTTAGGTAGCTGATGACTATATAATCTAAATAATAACTCAATTACTATATGGAATTCACTGTATTAAATAGCACCTCTGCTCTTGTTTGCAGAAAACAAAGTTTTTTGTAAATATTTACTACATAAATGGATACAGCCATAGTGTTAGGTGGGGTGGCACACATCAGACATCATTTAAAATATTTTCAGTGCCTCTGACAACACAATGTTTAGGTTCCGTGTATCAAAATTGAACATTTAATCCAGTACCTTACTAATATCCCACCTAGCATTAAAACATGAAGAACATTGCTGCACTCTTTTACTCCCTTACCTAGAGGGAACAGATGAGCCTAGATCAGAGTAACCGTTGGTACGAGTCTCGTCGTCCGGACAGGGGCTGCTAGGAGTGTAGTCTGGTTCCTCTCCCTCCCCGTAGTCCTCAAACTGTTCCTCGTTCAGAGAAGCTGAGGAACGAGTTGATAGGTCAGAGATCACTGAGATGGTAGTCGGGCCACACCTGAGGAAAAAGAGGGATTATGGTACTATACTCACACTCTACATTCATATGTAATGATAAAAGTATGATTATTTTAGATTTTCATCTGAAATCAAATATGAAAAACATGGCACAAACAGACAGTAAGAAAAAGAAGAAGAGTTGGAGCAGTCCTTACTTATCCCCAGGGAAAAAGAGATCCCCCAGTGTGTCTTCCTTGTCCCCTGGTCTGACTGGCCCCTCAGAGGTGTCTGACCCCTGGGTGCTTTCCACAGCACTGTCTCTGTCTGATTCCCTCTCTCTGCCGTCGTCTACCACCTCCTCTTCGGGCTCCTCTACCTCTCCAGGGAATATTTGGCACTCAGGGATGGGGTCAGGATAGGCCCGTGTGCACATGATGACCAGACGAACCCGCTCCTCCTCACCACCCTGAAGAATGATGGGAAGTAAGGCAGAGTTTATGATGAATAGCTTAAGAAACACACTGACAGATACTGGGTTGAAAGAACAACAAGTCTAAGGTCACAGGTCCCACTCAGTTCAGTTTCACTCATCAACAGCACAAATCCAGTCTAATTCAAGAAAGAACAAGGACTTATCTCAGCCAAAACAGGTGAATGACATGAAGGGTAAAAGGCGTAACAAAAAGGTGATGAGGGAGTGAATTAGCAAGAGATTGAGGTCTGGATGTAGGGAAGGAGAGGAAGAATAAGTGTAGAAACTAAGACTATAACTAATCGGTAAAACAGTGGAAATGAGACATAAGCGCTACTGAAGCATAATTCTATTCAATCCACACTGAAAGCAAGACATAAGCTGTGTGTTCTGAGTGTTTAAAGTCATCAGAACAGCTGCCTGTTTGTCACAGGAGTCTATTCCAGGCCAATCAACAACACAAGTGTAATGGACAAAAATACTTTTCATGTAAGATCATTGGGAAGAAACTGTGTTATGTAGCTTATGGATTTAGATTTTACTGATTTTCCCTGTCTCATTACACAGGGAGAAAGTGAAAATGAAACTCAAGCAGCCTGATCAGTCATAAATTATGCCAACAGAAACAAAACAAAAGGATTTGTGTGATTTAAACAGCTGACTTGGAGATTACACTTCAGTAATCTGGATGGAAATGAATGGTGGAAATAAGGCAAGAAGGAAAATATACAGTAGTACATCTCTAAATTACACTGGGCATTGCATGGTTTTGTGAAGAGAAGTGTGCCCTAACCGGTCAGTCAAGTACCAGTTTCAGAAGCATGTGCCATCATTTACGCTCCCAACTAAAGCTTTTTTTAACAGCAGTTCTTTCAAAGACACTGCTGGCCAGTAACATCCTATTGTGTGTGTTGCCTACAAAAAGCACTCTTGAGTTTTTCTAATGATAATGGTAAAGTTGAGGGAGGAATGGTGTGTGTGTTTACAGTATGCCTCTCTCTGTACCTGCCAGCTTGACAACAGCCTGAGGCCTGTAACTGCCAAAACATGAGCCTACAGAACATTTTGAACTGCTTGATTCCCAAGAATGCAAACACAGCTTGCCTACCAAACAGCATCCAAGCAGCCAGTGGCTTTGAACTGTGGATGATGCGGAGATCTGCTGCGCTTTCAACTTCAGCGGCTCTGCCTAAAGTCTGATGCTCCTTCATACCCCCTTTAGGCAAAGAAGAATATTTATCACCACTAAACATTTGCTTCAGTCAAACCCACTCTATTATTGATGAATTATTATCTGAGTGTCTGAAGCCTTTCAGTGTTTAGTAGTGCACCTAATGTATTATACAACATCTATTTTATAATGTATATTACTTTTCCAGAGATTGATTACATTTTAAAAATACAGTGAAACTATGCTCAAATCTTTTAAATGGTTAAATACCCGTAAACTACAGCCCAACTTAAAAGTCCAACACTTTCTAAATTATGAAATGGTTATGATGCTTTATATGATGATGATAATCACTTTTATTGGCCAGTTATGTTACACACACAAGGAATTTCTCTCCAGTAAAGAACTGAGGCGCCAACTCACACACACACACACACACACACACACACACACACACACCAATGATAGCGCTGTCCCTGCAAAGTGCTGCTCTGGCCATCGGGGGCAACTTGGGGTACAGTGTCTTGCCCAAGGACACTTTGATATGTGGACTGGGAATCGAACCACCAACCTTTGGGTTAGGGGATGACCATACTACCTCCTGAGTCACAACCAGCCCCTGAGCCAACTTATAACAAGTAGTAAGAAGATTAAAAGGTGTTTTCATTTTGCCAAGCTCAAGTTCAAGGATTGCCTTTCTCAGATTTAGGAAAATTAATCATTAGGTTTGTTTGCCGTCCCTGGTAGGCTAGTGGTTAATGTGCAGCGCTCTCGAGGAAAAGCCGAAAGTGACTTTCAGTCATTGGGTTTGTTTGTTTCATCTAGGTTAGATTACTGTAATGTTTTACTTTCAGGATTGTGCAAATATTAAAAGCCTCAAGATGGTGCAAAATGCAGCTGCTAGAAGTTTAAAAAAAAAAAAAAAAAACTTGCATCACACTACACCTATTTCATCATCATTACATTGGCTTCCTGTCCATGTCAGAGCTGATTAAGGTGCTTTTATTAACATAAGATTATACAGGGTACTCCACCGCCATACCTCTCTGCTCTTCTTCTAGCTTATCACCCACTTCATCCATCATGCTTTCAATTTGCAGGATTTTTGGTTGCTCCCAGAGTTATTACAGTAAGACAAGCTGAACGCATATGGACGTATTTGACTCTACAGTATGTATGACAGCTACTACTAACCATATGTGCATGTTTTTGTGTGTATGCTTTCTCTGTCCAGCTGCCACTTTACAGCCAAACCCAGGCCTGGCGCTGTGTTTAAAGATAAGCACCACACATCCTCAACCATCGCTAAATTACACACATGTAACAGATTTCTTATGTCATGTGTGCTTGAATAAGCATTCATACTTTAGAACCTACATATATGGTCAATGCTGTAGACACAATGATTGCCAGCCCAGATTTTCCAGGTAGAGAAAATTTGTGCAACATGAATAATTATGTATCAGACAGTGCACAAATGGAGAGATTAACACATCCCAGCTTTCAGGGACCAATGAATTGTTTACATCTACTGCAACTGCAATATAAGAATTGCGAACAGATAAAGGGACAAAAAAAGAGCAAAAGTCACTTCTCTGTCAGCAGCTCAAAAGACAGAGACGTCAGGTGGAGAGAAAATGATTGGCAGAGCAGAAAAAACAACTAACCTAAAAACTGTCTATGTGAAACAGACACACCTCGACTTTGAAAATCTTTTTGAGAAAACCAGAAAATAATTTTCCAGTAATTAACTTTCAGCTGAGCTTGGCGATGGCATCAGGCAGATACTGTAGAAAGACGTTCACGTGATAAGATTAATGACCACCATGTTGACACAGTCCTGAAACTCAAAATGTTGACTGTTACGCTACAGTGGTTGAGCAACACTGTGGCACCTGACAGTAAAGAAAACAGTTAGATGCTATTGTGCTGCTATACGTGGCTGCTATGGAGATAAACATACAATATTTTGTCTGTTACAAAAAAGTGCGTTTGTGTAAGAGATAGAACTGGAACAAAACAGGTGAGTGTGAGGCAATCATTTAGAGATGCACTGAAAAGTTTTTGGCAAACCCTCCTACTGACTTGCAGGTTTATTTCCTGTGATGTGACCTACAGTCAAATCAATAACCCACCTAAATACAAACTGCTAATTCCCCTTGGGCATCAATATCATAGAGGTCCAAAGTGAAGTAAAGTCAAATCGGCTTGGCAATCATGAGAAACTAAATGTAGCTACTAGAAAGAAACTAAAGAGGCAAAGTTGGCAACCTTTTTATGGCAGACATTTTAATGTAAAAGCCCAAAGGTGAGGTGTAATTACTGTAATTACTAACATTAATGATGGCCATATCTCAGGTCCAGGGCCCTGCTACTACGCAGGCATGCTTAGCCGCACATGCAAATGAAATTCAGCCATAAATAATGTTATTAATTACCAGTGTGATCTTCCAAAACAAGACCGTCCTCCCAGTTATAGCAGAATGACAGCATCAGTCATTTCAGCAAGTGCCCCATTATGGCGCAAGTCTGTGGTCAAGTGACAAAGCCCTCTAGCAGCCAATTATGCAGAAACAAAGAAGGAAGTCGATGTCATATAGTGAAACTGTCTGTGCAGGGAAGAGGCCGGGGCGAAAGGACAGGTCAACAAAATATCCGACTTTAACACAGGAGACTTTCGTTCATCATTGATTCCTTTTAATCATGGCCATGAAAATATGTCGCTGTAAAGGTCATGGACAAAGAAAATGTCATTTAATTTGAAAGCCTTCTCCTGCTATTACAACTAAAAAAAAGTTTATTTTTGTTGTCTTCACAATTAGAAACACATTAATCTAAATATGTTGGCAGATACAAGAAATATGAATCTTGTTTTCAGCAGCTAAAGAACATACATACACAATGCCAATAAACCCTTGTATACAATAAAAGCATAGATGCACACACATACAAAACAGAGTGACATGAACCAATTACTTGCTGAAGGATCAAAAAATTCTTAGTTTCTCAGTCATCAAAAGACCAAATGCTGTACAGGTTGAACAACACCACCGCTGTTTTTGTCGTCATTAAAAAGACTCCCCATACACCTCTCCTCACACCCCTTTAGTGTATGCTGAGGGTCAGTACCATTTTAGCACTGAACAACTCATTAATTCAACCGCCTGGCACCTTGGAGAATTACTGTATGTGGATGGTCACAGATTTCAAGGCCTTATTGATCAAAGTAAAAAAAAAGGGAGAAGGTGGCTGTGGACTGGTCAGACTATGACTAAGCAAGAGTGGCACAGCTTTTACTTTTTTTTCTGAGCTGAAAATTCTGCCAGTAGATAAAATTTCTATGTGTGTCAAATTTTGTTTCACTTGCTTTTAATAAATGTGGCTGTCTTCACCATTTGCAGAATTTTCCACAAAAACACCAACAGCCACAAAAAGAAACACAGCAGATTCTGACAAATATTAATAAAAGATAAAGTGATTCTTGATGCAAGCTGATTTGCATGAGCTATTACAGAAAAGAGAAATGCGTGTGAAAACTTCAAGTGATACCACAGTTACCTTTGAGGAGTGTCCTCAGAATAATTGAGGAACATTTTTGCAGTATGTTATTTGAGCAAAACTGGATGAAGGGAGTTATACGGCTTATGCGGTTTTAAAAAGGTGTTGCTTGAGTTGCACGTTTGTTGTGCAACTACTTAAACGGTAACCATCCTGTTCCTAAACAAAGCAAAACAGGCATTGTGCAAAAGACAGACAACAAAACAGAGGTGGAGTGCTACACAGTCTGTGATGAGATTAGATGAGCAGTTGCATGAAATGACATTGATGGGATCGATCCACACGGATGAAGCTTTGATTTAGTGTGAGTCAGCAATAAAGAGACTGGAGGATGAACTGATGCATGAGAGACAAACTGAAAATGGAAAAAGACAGGAGAGAAAAGACAGAGGAATAGAGGCAGGAAAGTGAGAGAGAAGGGCTGTACTGGGAGAGCAGCAGAGTCTCTGCTTGTGTTTGTCAATGGAGCTCCAGACAGAAAAGGCATTTCTCTGCAGAGGCTTTTTCTACATCTCCATCTCTGATCATTTCATCCTCTCCTACTCCCACTGTCTTTCTATTCTTCTAAGCTCTGGGGTGCTCAAAATGCTGCTACCACAAAAATATTCACCTTTAAATACAAATCATTTCATGATTCTGCTTTATTACCACCACTTGCTGCTTCTTTACAGATTCTTAAAAGGACATTCTAAAAATAAAAAAAACATACACACAAAAGCTTAAACTATTAGTCATTTAGTCAATCATTTTCAATAGTCAATCATTTTCAGGCAAAAACACCAAACATTGCTGCTTCCACCTTCTCAAGTGTGTATATTTCCTGCTTTTTTGTCATATGCAATATAACCTGAATATTTTTGGCTTTTGAACTGTTGTTTGATGACACGTCCTGTGGGACATTGTGATTGACATTTTTCATTATTTCCTGACACTTCACAGGCAAACTTAAACAAATAATGGGAAAGACAATTATCACATCATTAATGACAAACCTAATCTAATATGTTACTTTTACAGTTTTCATTTGTTGAGTAATGAGCATATTCACAAATAAAAGGAGTGTTTCTATACGACTTCTGCCATGACATGAAACAGACATTCACAGTTTCGGTGCATTTATCTGTCTGTGTGTCTGTGTTATTCACCTGCTATGGTAAGCAATCCTCTTCGTACACATGCACGTATTCACACATTACAGCATGATCAAGTAATGACTCATATTTCACTACCATTTTAAGTCAACTCCGTGAGGAACTTTGGTTTCGTCAAATGAGACACACAGTTGCCCAACTGAAATACTCCACAAAAACACCTGAGACCCACCCCAGTGTAAGAACATTTTAAAATAAAGCCTCTCTTT